TATATTCAGCTGTTAATCTGCGTAACTGTGTACTGCACAAAGTTTGGAGCAGACTACTTATCAGAGGTTTTGCACATCAATCCCTTTATTGTGTAAAGAATCAGTGTCTTTGAATAGATTTGGCTTGAAGCGTAGAAGTGATACACAGTGCCCACTGAGTGCTGATTGCATATGTGTTTTGGTAAATGGCTTTCTGCTGGTTGATATGATTTATATATTGTGCATTTAAGTTGTCCAACAAGTCCAAGGTTTAGGTGGCACAGTAGCTGCTCTGGTGTTAGATGGACCCACTGAAGGAGGATCAGCTTCTCGGTCTGGGCTCTTCTTCTGATTGATGGCACCTGCTCATCATAATGCTATCTGCTGGAATCTGCATACCAATGATCCCAGCCGCCTATCGATTCACCCCTCATCTACCCCACACACACCCTGGAGACCAATACACACACACACACCCACGCGCACACATTCATCCACTCCATCTCCCTCCCCAACCACTGTCATTATAAAAGTCAGCAGCTGCTGCTGCATGCATTGATCATAAATCATAATTGCTTCTTCATTTTTCCCCACTTGTTTAATGTTGCTGTCAGGGACAGTAGGGGGAGAAAAGGAGGAGGCGGAGAAACGGAGGAAGAAAAGCCCAAAGAAAGTTTACTGAGACGCAGAAAAATGAGATTAGAAGAGAGAGCTGAAGGAGAAATGGTCTCCAATCTCTCCGCTGGCATATCGAGTCCTCTGGCCTTTAAAAGAGCAGCAGCCTGACGTGTCCGCATTGGCTCAAGAATTTAAGCCGTTTCCACTTCAGAGACGTTTTCCCTTTTAAAATAAACTCTGCTCACATTAATGAGGGTTTATGCAAGTGACCAAAGGCATTGTGTGCTAATAATATGCATCAGTATTTTAGAGATGCTGTTTTATTTGTTTTTTAAATATAAGATAAATGGCGCAGGGACTCGGCAGTTCCACCTCGGACATGTCCATGTCCCCTCCTCTTAATCCTGGAGTGAAGTTTAGCTTTGGTTGAATGTTTTGCAGCTTCCATTGAAGAAAACGAGTTAAACTGTTTGACCATCTCCTTCTCCTCTGCAGATAAACGGAGCTACAGACTTTTATTTGTTCCCTTTTTGGCTTTGCATTGTTTTGACAATCGTGTGCTGATATTTTTAGGAGTGGCTGGTGCTTTATGATAGACATGAAAGAATAAAATGTATCTACATCTTCTTCTTTCCCCACTTTTGAGCACTTTTGGAATAGTTAGACTATTTCTGATCTTTTTAAAAGTATGACTACATGCTGCATCTGTTTCCTTAATTCACTCCTCCTCTCATCAATCTTGCTTCACATCATTTGTGTGTTAGAAATGATAGATTGGTGTGACTTAAATTCACCAAAATTGCAAGTGTACTGATAGATCAATCCCTATCCATGCGGCTCCTAAACGTATTGCTCCACCCCATTAGGGTGATGCACTACAGTGCTGGATCTCTCCTGCTGCCATTGTGCAAGCAGCTGCTTTATCGAGCACTCTGCTGACATACAGCCCAGCGTTTCTGCATCGCAAGGGGAAACTTTGGATGACATGTAAAAGCAGAGGTTTGGTGCAACATGCCTTCATAATGGGATGGGAACTCGGGTGCACGAGTGAGGTGGGAGGGGGGGCGCGCTAGCTGCAGGTATTGTGGTGGGGGGGGTGGGGGGGGGAAGGAGTGTCTCTTCCTGGCTGCTTCCAAAGCAAATGGAAGACAATCCAATTTCCTGTGATTCCATCAAGCCTCCGTCCTGGATCCGGGAGCATTAGGGAACGCTGAGAGGACAGGCCGCTGACCCCCTCACACGAACATGCAAGAGGCATGTAGGCTGCACACGTGCGCCGGCGTGCTCATCTGTGTATCGTTAGGTTTGTTGGTCTGTTTTATCAGTCACATATTCTCACTTGCGAGCGCACACGCGTCCTTTTATGCTGCTGAACAACAAACTGCAGATTAGCGCTGGAGGCAGATTAGAGCTTAAAGCCGTTACACTTTAATTATAACTGCATTTCTGTGCGTCGTGGTCTTTCACTCGGCCCTGGCTGTAAACATCTGCCGCTCTCCCACTGTGCTCAGTCTTTGTTTGTCTGTGTTGTGAACTAAAGGGGAAAATTGGTTGCAGCATTTTCTTATTTAAGATGAAAACGTGACCCTCTTGCTGTCAGATGCATGTGCGCATATATAAACGCAGCTATTTTGCTACAGGTCTGCCTGCTCTTCTCCAGGCTGACACGTTTTCTGCAGTACATCACAGGTTGTGATTTGACTCGCAGTCAGACAGCATTGTTGTCTTGGGTTAACCGCTGCACGCTTTCCACGCTGGTGGCGATTTGCATCTGTTCTCTGTGATCCACCCAGAGGGAATAGAAAGCTCTAATCCAATCAGCAGGTCCCTGAAGTGCTGCCCCTGAGAGATGGAGAGAAACACAACAATAGGATCACTCTGCACTGGTTTCAGCAGGAGAAGGCAGACAGGAAAGGGAAGGAAGGGGAATGAGGGATTGTAGAGGAGAGGGATTAAGTCTGAAGAAGAGACGAGAGGAACGAACGGGGGCGAGGATGATGGGTGAAGTAAGGAAATGAGGGAGGTGTGGCTTGGTGTAACAAAACAGGAAAGACTAATGAATAATTTTCCAATAGTTTGGAACTTTTGTGACATGTGAGCTACAAGAGCCTTAATTTGAATCTTATTTGAAATGATTCCACTTGGTTCAACTGCTGCTCTTGTTCTGAGGCAACAGTTTGATCATTTGTTACCACTGAGGTGCAAATGCAGGCTGGAGCAGTGACTTTAAAAACTGAATCTCCTGGTGATGGTGCCTGTCAGAATTGTCTTTTATATCTACAGACACACAAGGACGCATTTTCCACATCGCCGTCCTCAGTCTAACACTTCATACAAGATGTCATATCGCTGCCGCTGACCTTTGACCACAAGGATCATCTGTTCAAAGAGCGTACACTCGGATCACACAGATGTTGGTCACAAACTCGTGTATCAGATATGATGCACTTGATGTTATAGATTAAACACGGTCACTTACAGATGAGATGGATATAATTTATTTTATTTTATTTAAATGCATGTTTCTAGCTCATCTTTTAAAGGTTTATTTGGTTGAGGCTGAGTAACAAAGTAGCCATGAAAGGGTGAAATGTATGTAAATGTAGCCAAAGTCCAGTGTTAATAGAACTTGAGCTGTTAAAATCCATAATATGGATAAAGGTGCTGGGACGTCTACACTTATACCTGCAGGAGCTGCTTTGGTGTGGAAACGTGTCACAGAGCTCCTCGCAAATAGTTTTTGTGCAGCATTTGAGTTTTTGTTTGTGCACTTTGTGTCTGAGCTGCTGTCGTTCCTAAATGCAGTTAGTTGGTTGTGACATTTCGTACCTCCCAGATGTTCACAAACTAACTTGAAGCGAGCTCTTTAGAATAAACCGAATGTTTAAAGGCTGCGCGGTGAGGTGCTTCTTGTGTTTAAATACACCTGTGGCAAAATGACAGAACACCTAAACTCCAGTGTTAACGGATCCGGCCTGCGTCTTGTCCATATAGTTTGATTTAATGAGCTTTGACTTATTAATTAACACTTCAAACAAGCCACACAATAGTCTGCGAATTATAAAAATAAACGTGAGTGGAAATGTTCCCTTTCTTCCACTCAAACTCCATAAATCCAGTATTGATGCATCGTTTTCGTAATGGTCACATAAACATTACAGCTAATGTTGGAAACCTGCTGTCAGCTGAGACGCCCACTGAAAACCTCCAGATGAACAGAATCAACCTTTTGGTAATCGGTTTGGATTCAGGTTGATGCTGGATGGGCAGCTGTGATTAAGGGGGTGATGGCCCCCTTTCATCTGAGTTTTAGGTTTCAGGTTAACCAGAGCTGGAAACGACCTGCAAGCTGAAAGTTTAGATTTTTCAGGTCACATGTTTCTCAAATCAATATCTCATCGTCTTATAATTCCCCTTTGGTGCAGGCAAACAAACACAGCACCGTTTGTCCACAAAAATATTTAATTTGTATTCTATCAGGTGAGTTTCCCTCCTGAAGTTTGGACAAAGTGACAGCTCACAGCTTACTCACAGCGAATGTTGGCAGTATTTCTGTGTTAAGTGGACGTTGTTTGAATGTGCACTCAGTGAAGTCTTTTGTTTTTGCTGTGTCACAGGTCCTTTGAATTAAGCGCTTGTTTTTGTCTTTTTACAGGACGATGAAGGACAGACGGCGTTGCATTATGGTGAGAAAGCATCGTGAACACTTTCCTTGCTGTAAAGCTTTTTGTGCCTGTTTTTCAAATTGGCTCGTTCCACATTTATTCTGCACAGACATCATGTTGTCTGCGTGCACACTCTCACTTTATTTACAGCAGCTTGTTTTTTGTGCGCACGCCTCCTTTGACTATATTTTGTTTCACATTGATCATCTTTGAGTCCTCCCGCTCTATCCTTTCTATTCCTCACTTATTTTCTGCTGTTTTTCCACAAAGTTTGTCATTCCTTCCTTTTTGCTCCTGCATGTGTGTTTGTGTGTGTGGGTCTGTGTGTAATAATCACTAGACCTCCCAGAGGAAATCAGCAGTGGTCCTTAGACTCCCCTGACCCCCTCGTGCCCCAACACACATGTCCCTGAGGGGCGTTTCCCATGTCCTCTGAGCCTCTGTGTGCATGTGGCTGCACCATCTGTCCCTGTGCTTGGTGGCGTTGGAGTGGGCATGCTGGATTACCCACTGGAGATCGACACACACACCCGCACTCACCAGAAGAAGCCCTGAGGATGGGGCATAAAAAGATGACTAATAAACATAAGCGATGAACTCCAAGAGACAAATAGCAGAGAATGAAAATTCATTCCCACCTCTCTTTGCACAGGGCCACACTGGCTGGCAAGTGATTAATTGAGGGTTTACTGCTCACCATAAATTGTTCTCCTCCTCTACGGCTCCCCCGAGGGCCAGCCACTTTTTACAGCTCAAGGCCCAGGCGAGAGACGCGCCGCACGCGCACACACAAGGCTGGCTAAATAAAATACTGTTTAGAGTAACAAGAGGAGGGCTGCAAGTGTGGCTGGGGGGCGAAACAGTCAAGCTTTGTTACTCGGTTTTAGCGGAAAGATTAGTGATTCTTGTGGCTTTGCACACCTCATACATTCATTCATAGCTGCAGCTTGAGCATGCACACGGGCTCGCTCTCACACTCGCGTGCATTCCGATGTAACATCGCATCCGTGCGTGCACACTCCCGCCAGTCACCTCTGAGCTGGAGGTTAAAAGGCCTCGCTGTCAATCACTGCGGCTGCTGACATCAGCGAACATGGCACAGCAGAGTCTGCTCTTTAAAAGCAGCGAGCGATAGACGCCGGGAGGGAGTGTCAGAGGGGCGAGGGGTAGATCGGGAATGAAGGAACCCTCTAACTGGGTTAAGAAAGTGCACGCTGCCCCCCGCCCCTCTCCACTCTACGCTGGGAGGGGAAAGACCCTTTTAGTGGGGTACAAATTGTCAATGGGGCAGAAATGAAGTGTTTGAAGGAAGCTCAGGTCCAGGCCAGTGTCAGTGCTGGGCCTGCAGATTAGCTTTTCATTAACTGCAGCACTTTACATACTGTATTACCCCACAGTGTGGATTCACTCTAACCTGCCACATCGTAACAGTGGTTCATTATTTCATTAACCGTTTAAAACTAAATGAAACACAACCACATCAACTCTGTTTGGTTAAAACTCATTTATTTATAAAATATTGCTAAAGCTGCAGTCTCAGTGGTTCCAGTTGATACAAATGAAACTGTTTGCCTCCATGTTGTCAAAGTGTTTCGTTTATTCATCCATTCATACGAGGACTCGAGTTTCCGTAACGCCCGTCTTGACTAAACACATGTGAACCTCATGGGGGTAAAACTCCAGGATGCTCACACTGACGTGATAGATAATTGGTTTTCTATGCATTTGTTCTCGGGAGACGGAATATTAATGAAAAATATTGTACATTTCATGTTCTTTCGGTTTCTGATGTGACTTTGTTTTGTTTTTGTAGCTTCGGCGTGTGAATTTGTTGAAATTGTGGATCTGCTGCTGAAATCTGGAGCTGACCCGACTATCACAGACCAGGAAGGTTGTCTTCCCGAGGAGGTCACCGATTCCCGTGCGATCTCCCTTCTCCTGCGTGGGTACACTACTTCGAAAGGCTGAATCGGCCTTGCATCCCACCACCCTGTTATTCCAATCTCCTAGTCGCCTCCCTGCTCCCCTCTTTAGCCCAGCCTTCCCATAATCCCTCATTCATCCCTGCAGAGACTTCTTTTCCCCTTTCAGCCCTAACAGTCTGTAGACCTGGACTGCAGAAGGGTTTGTTTTCCATTTTATGTCTCTTTTTTTCCTCTCCCCCACCCAAATTGTTGAGGTGACTTTGATTTCATTGGTTTAGCTCTTGTTGAGCTGCGGTTGTAAACATTAGTCATTCAATTTAATACACAAGGGCACTGCATGTATTTTCAGTCTTCTATATGCTGTATTGACTATCTGCACAGTAGGGTTGGGTGATATGACGGTTACTGTAAGACAGATTTATGAACTGATAAGGTATAGCTACAAGACTTTGACTGGAAATGGTGCGATTAAATGAGCTGGACAGCATATTGGCAATATATAAATGACATTGTGTGCATCTGTGTGTTAAAGCATCTGTATTTATCCAGCATCACCAGATCAAGCAAAAAGAGACATTCCCATTCACTTATCTATAAACGCTATAAGCTATCACAATATTTATCATCTTCATGGTGTAACGTCCAAATCCATCAGAATCCCACACATATCACCCACTCCTACTGCAACCAGCCAGGCCTTTTAATCAGTTTAGTCTGTTCTAGTGGTTTGTTCATGATTCTGTTAGGTACCAATGAATGCTTTCCACATGTTTCATTAAAGTGTTCTGCAAATCTGAGTCCTTGACTTCCTGTTATCTGTTCAAAAAGAAGCATAAGCACTGTAGAGTTCCCCGTGTGAGCGATGTAACCCGATTCCACTCGGGCGTCTTTCTCCACGTACATGTTTGCATAAATGTGTGAGGCCGTGGCCCACACTGCTGACGAGCGACGTCCGCAGAGCTGCTCGTCTTGCCAATGGACCAATGAGCT